GGGGGCGTGGCTGCTGGCCGCCTCCTATTCAGAGCGTGTCCCCTCTCACAGGGCTGGGCCTCGTCCTCTGCCAGCCCTTGCTGCCCGCCATCCTCCCCAACGAGAGTGAAAAGGTCATGCCGCTGAATTCGTCTTTCGCTCTGCGGTGCTCGGGGGAGAGCGAAGTCAGCTGGCAGTACCCCGAGACCGAAGGCCAGAACGTGGAAATCCGGACCGAGGAAAACAACAGCGGCCTTTTCGTGAAAGTGCTGGAGGTGACCAGGGCCTCGGCGGCCAACACGGGCCTCTACACGTGCTACTTTAACAACACGAAGCTGGACGAGAGTGAGGTCGAAGGCAGCCAGATCTACATCTACGTGCCAGGTGAGTGGGCAGCAGGGGGCATCCCGTGGGCCGGGCAGTGCTCGGTCTCTCCTGTGGGCTCTGTTGAGGTTTTTAAAGTCGACACGTATGTAAATATTGACTCTGGAAGATTTGGAACTGACCCAGGAGAACTCTCCAATGATCGACCACTTGTAACCTTGGTGCCAGGAAATGTCTGAGGCCCCGCACTTTTATTTAGTACAATGAGCGTAAGGAGCCCTTTCTGAAACAGATTGGTGGGGAGGGGAGCGGATCCTATATTTCTGATCACCGTAGAGGAAGTGGCTGGTTTCCTTTGGAGCGAGCGCCCCTAGGCTACAGAATATTATCCATCTTATTTGCTCCTCAAGCGATTCCTAGTGATTTTTTTTAAAGGTGAGGTGAGTCCAAAAGTATTGCTATTAGGGTTTCGATTTCTACACTCTTGGGTGCATTCTAAACAAAATACATTTAAACCGTCCCTCTAATCAGGATGACCGCAGACAAGGTCCCTTAGCCAGGCACTTGACTTTCTATGACAGGGAGCCTAAAATCCAAAAGCATCCAGTCGAAACGGCGGCCTCTGGGAGGATCTGCTGAGCCAGTTAAGTCCAAGGTTGAAAGGTCAGGGGAGAAGATGACAGTGACTAGTTTTGGGGGCTTTCCAATGGGTCATCTTGACTGATTATTTTGAAGGGTACAAGACGACCCCCGGGGCTTATTGAATGGTTGAAGCTTAAATGGAAATGGAAAGCTGTATCATTGAGAACAAGACCATGAAAGTTGTGCTGGGGGTGTGTTTTGTGTGTGTGTGATGACATTGTCTGAGGGTCTCAAGGGTTGCCCTACGAGAATTCCGTTGGGAAGCTTCAGCCTATCCACCCTGAGCTGCCCCTGACCTTGCTCCTTCACATTTCTTTCTGCTCCCAAACTCAAAGGCCCTTCTCCAGGAACATGACTGAACTCCCTCAAGGGTATGGCTAAACTGCCATTTTGACGTGGTCTCCCTCAAAAAGTGAGAGCCCTATGGAGGAACGTTTCCAGATGGAAGCAGTGCCTTCGGGGATTGAATAGACTTAGAGGCAGGGTGTGCAGAGAAGCAATAGCTGCACATCCCACCCCCACCCCCTTTTTAAACAGTTTCATTGGATATAATCCGCATGTTATACAAGTCAAGGGTACAAGTCTATCCAGAAATGTTGTACAGTCATCACCACAATTCATTTTAGAATATTTTTCTTCTTCCTCATACTCCTTGCTATTAGCCCCCCATT